GATATTATTAAGTACGTGTTTATATATAAATATTTTAGACGGTAGGTGCCCGAGATTATATAGTATTTTATTTGTGGTTTTATTATGCAATTAAGTGCATTTTTAATGACTAATGACAAAAATTCTTTATTTAGATAAACAAATGACAACATTAACGACAACAACAAAAGTAGTAACAACAACAATCGCAGCAATAACAGCTTAAAAGTTTAGAAAACGTCGTCATAAAAAACAATTAAATCAATTCAAATGGCAAACGCACTACAAATATAATAACGTGAATAAACGACATTCTCATATTATAAATCTACAAACAAGTGCATACGAACAAATGCATAAACGCAAACATTGTATCTAAATTAATTGACGTTAACCGGTTAACTGCGGAAATCAGGACCTTATTTCCGTGCACTTGAATGCGTACATATTATGTAATATAAAAAAAAAAATATAAAATAAAATCAAAATACTATTACTATTTATCGGTCTCACAACACCGTAAAGGGTAATAACAAGTAAGAAAAGTAAATATCTGTTCATTCAATTGTCACCATTTACCTATAAATTTTTTAACAACAACAAATTCATATAACCAGCTGATTTTTAATTTAAGGTAATTAAATAGATGTGAATGAGAGAGAGTACGATAAGTGTAAGTGTTTAGTGTTAATTACAGGGTTACCGCAGTTTTATAAAAATTTCGTAGAAATTATTTGCTTTCATTTTGTTTACGAAATCGGTAAACGAAAACAACGAATAATAATTGTTAAAATTTTCATAGAGTAGGCGGATAGGATTAAAAAATGCATAATTCGTATGATTTTGGAGACAGTTTACAGATGAATATGATAATGACCGTGTATGCAACGGTTAACTGCACTGATGTTAGGTGTGCAGGACAATCAATTTGGCTGTTTATAAATTTAGACGAAACAATGACTTTCAAGAGCATTCTTCCTCCTCCGGGTATACTTATTTTTTATTTCATCACTGGCTACAATTATACATTTCGTCCGCATTAAGTAACACTATTAATATTAAAGGCTTAAATTATGAAATAATAAAGCATATAATCAAAGCGCAAGGCTTTACACGTCAAAGGATTTTACAATATATCCAGGCTTAAGGCCTTCAACAAGCGAACTTAAGGCTAACTATTAAATTATGACCTTATAGCGAAGAATATCAATCAAGAAATTAAACAGCAAAGTAGACAGTATACAATAGTGAACATAAGTCTAAGTAATTCCATCACATAGTTACTTATAAGGTATGGTCTACCATACTTAGTTGAGAACCAGCCAGCAACAATTTAGCAGTCGCGAGTCCTATCCATCTATATCTGGATAGAAAGTGTCTTTATGTAAAGGCTTTAGCCGTGGTATACGTTGAACGTCTCTTTTCAATAATATGAAAGCATTGATTTTCGGATTGTCGTTAGGACCTTTGTGGTAGATAGAAGGCAAATCTATAAGCCTTATTCCTTTTTCCTATGGTGGCGGAGCTAGAAATGGTCACGATGAGCACATAATTGATTTATCTATTTATCCGTTGAACTAGAAGGGGAATAGTTTCGGCCAGAGAAAGAATCCACTTTTGAACTGATTCGAATCGTTTCATTTCAAATTCATAGTTAGGTAAGTCCATGTGTGTGTAGTCCTAGCCAAGAAAATGAAAAGATTTTGGGTAATATAAGTACCATTAAATTTGTGCGATCATAAAGAATTCAAGGTGTAAATTAAAAAAAAGGAAACTTCATATTCGAGACGAGGCCCGAAGTTGTTATATGTCACGTTGTTTATTGGGAATGGTGCTATGAACATCATAGTCTAAAAGGAAAAAGGGTGCCTTCACCAATTAACGCCGTACTAGGACTTTCGAATGCGAGTACTCTTATCCTTTTGAATCCTCCCGCCCGTTGGTCCTTTAGGGCTTTTATTATATTATTGTTATCAATATTGAATATAATTATTCACCATTTTTAGTCGTTACGAGGGAACCTTTATTCGAAGTCGAAAGTCCGCCTTCGCTTAATGAAAAGTTTATTTGCAAGCTTTCAAATGTCTTTATAGAGGAGAGAACTGGAAGAAAGGACAGACAAGTATGTAAAAGATGTATGGTTTAAAAATATTATATTTATCGAAGAAAAAATACATATTGTTTACGATAAGCATTTCACGCATTCTTTCCTCATATTTGTTTAATTTCCACAACATTTTTAAAGGGGATGTGAAAGGTTACGGAAAAATGATGTGTACTTGACCGCGCTTAAAGGAATTTGAAACTTGAAATTTGAAATTCCGCTTCTAACTGGTTAAGTGCATAACTATATTGTATGCTACTCGCTACCAACACTTCTCTTAAATGTTAGCTATTAAGCAAAACCCGGTTTCGGAAGCAAAGTAAAAATATGAACAAAAAAAAACAAATACAATAAAAAAATAAAACTTAGTTGTATGCGATTTTCTATTGCAACACCAAAAGAATCTGTAGAGAAGAAAAAAAAAAAATTACTATTAATATAATAATAATAATAATAATACATATGTTACGTATCATATTATCAGCATAATTTTTACTTTTCTGTCTTGTCATTGTTGTTGTTTATTGAGTAAAACAATAAATATATGCTAATAAAGCGAAAAACAAAATTCATTCGCTAATTTCGCTCAATTTTTATGCATTTTTCGACTCGACTTTATCAATGAAAAATAAAAAAAAAGAAAAACAAAAAAGGAAAAAGTGCTCGCATAAACAAGTTTGCTTCTCCGTCTTATTTAAGTTCAAATTGAGTCGATTCCTATCGAATATAAGCCTCGCTTCAAAGAAGCGACAAGCTCGTATTAAATACGTAAAAAAAAAAAAAAAAAAAATTATTAAGAAAAAACACGCTTAAGCAGTTTCTTTTTTACACCCAAACAAAAAAAACAAATATATATCAAGCAATTTATTACTTTCGTACGAAATTTATTCTCAAATGCTTCATTTTTATACCCGTCACCCATCACTTGTGACACAAGGGCATATTATGTATGCAACATCCAAAAAGATACAAGAGAGATCCACCCTTTCATTATATCGATGAATTCAGAATTATTGTCTGAATCGATCTAGGGTTGTCTGTCCGTCCGTCCACTCGTCCGTTTCCCTTGTGTTTAAACTACAGGTCGCAATTTTTGAGGTATTTTGATGAAACAAAATACCTGCTAATAATTGCTGAGAGTGGTTCCGATCGGACCACTTTCTGAAAACGCTGCTTAAACCATATACCATCAAGGTTAAAAGAGAGGGCGAGGAGAAAGTCTTACATCCAAGCGTTGTTATGCATAATGGTCGCTCTAACACTTTTTTTTTTATTTTTGTGGCCAGCTACTCAAGGGTTTTCTTCTATACATTTTCGTACACGATGATGGACAGGCCGAGTTTAACTTGCGAATTTTTATGATTTTGTTTATCAAAATTTAGTACTTTTTGGGTAACAATTGTAAGGCGTTCTTCTTGTTTTTATAGCACGTTCTTACACGGCAGGAATTTGGTTCAACTCGTTTGGCACCCAATTTCATTACTACCGATCCGTATCACCTTCAAAAGTTTGGAAATAATAATTTCATAAGGTCCTGTTGCATTCGAGTTCGTGTACCGTTTCACCCAGTTGCGCTGTAACAAATACCAGATACCAGAAAAACAGATTGAGAAGTGAGGACACGATCGTAGTCAAGACAAATTACAAGCGCGGGAGGAATTTTTTCATCTTTACCTTTATATCTTTCCCATTTTATACACGCGCAGAGCCAAATAGTTAAGAGATTCGATGAGCAAGTCGACATCTCCGGATTCAATTCTCAGTGCGATAGACCATATTTTAATTAAGATTGGAGTGTGAACGTAGCTTTAGTGAGTGCTCGGTAGGTAAAGGCCATTTTTTATATCTTTCTTCCCTCTGCTTTCTTCTGACGATTACACGTATGAGGTCAAAGAGAAATGGAAAAAAAAAATGTATCAAAATGTTTGCTTTTCTCGAATGCGACTGAGGTAACCTAAAAAGTTGAAAATTCCTACTATAGGTATATAGATTGATGGCCTCGCTTATCTAAACTTTGCGATTCACTTCTAACATGGAAAGGTTGCTTAGTTAAATATATCTACCAACGGGGTACTTGCTTACTGGTTAACTGTCGACTCATGAGAATACGTCTATAAGAGCACATAAGAAGATAAGATTCCTTGCCACTTCTCTACGAGTTATATCTAAATTAGTTTTTGCTATTTTATTAGGTTAAATCAGGTTATATTACTGATATTCTAGGTTGTCCGAATTGCGCATTAAATTAGTTAAAATAATAATAAATTATTTTTAGTTTTACTGATCCATTGAATTATTTCTTTCATTTTGAACTTTTTCCAATGATTTTAATATACAGATTTTGATGAACATTTACTTTTCGGGCGTTATTCAAATTGCTCAACAAATCTTTGATCTTCTGCCCTCTTAAATATCTATATTTCAACAACATCCTATATGCTAACACTACCGCGCTCTCTCTCGCTCTTTCTCTCTTTCCCTATGGCGATCATACTAACCGGCGTAAAACACACGCAAACAAACAAACGCACGCACACATATACATTTAAAGGAGCGTAAGTATGTGTATGCTTGTGTTCTACCAAGCTATGTTTGAGACTATTCGTTTAGCTTTTATGTTGGGCTAAGCTACGATTTGTTGTTAACTAACTAACTAACTGATCGACTGACTGGTTGGCTTTCGGGCTCACGCTTGTGAGCTTGTGCTTATATGTTATGAGTATATTATGCCTAGTTGGGCGAATTACTATACCTGTTTTGTTGCTGGTTTGAGCCAAGTTTAAATCGAATGCCTTCCAAGTGTGAGTGATCAATAATAATGCTAATAATTGCATACAAAGGCACACACACACATACACAAACATGTACCCTGTGTATATACCAGACTTGGCAAATAATAGTGTGCCTTTCAGTTTTTCATAGTCGTTGCTAGCGTAAGCTACTGCTGGTCATATAAACGCGCTTCCAAGTACAACTTGCGAACGGAGTGAATTAAAAAAAAAAATATAAAGAAAAGAAAAAAATTTTTTAAGCCGCATATTTGTTGAACGTCGTGTTGTTGCTTTTGCTTCTTATTGTGTCGAAAAGAAGTGAAATTATACGGGCATTAATTTTCTTTGCTTTACTTTGTATGTTTATGGAAAATATTTAAAGTCTGAGCGATGCGGTGCTTTTATGTGCGGAGCTAATTTGAATTTCAATTACGTTTACGTTTACGTTTATTTTTATTTTTTTTTTTTTTTGTTTTTGCAATAAGCTCTTGTGTGTGCGGTCACAATAATACATTGGATAATTTTGCTAATAGAGGTCAATAGAAGAAGAAGAATAATAAGAAGTAAAAGAAGCGAACGAAATTCCAGCAAAACGTGAAGCGTAAAGTTAAAGAAAAGTAATATAATTTGTATGTTTTCTTTTAGAAATTTTTCACAAAAAAAAAAACATAAACGAACAATATAATCATGGCAAAACAGAAAATATACATCATATCACTTCTTTATTTAAACCAACAGCTAAGCAACTAAGTAGTCCGTCAGCCAAGTAGATAATCATTCAATACAGACATAATAGCCATGTAACATATTTTCACGCTTATGGATATGTGTATGCAAAATGATATATATCCATGTCAGTGTATATAAACATAGTTTAAATATGTAGTTTTGTTTACAAGTCTAAAAAGTGATGAGCTTTCGGGAAGTTATACAATATACACAATTTCTAATCATATAAGTTATTAGCGCTTGGGCCTAAATAACATCAGTTCTATTGTACAACGCAATATTTTTGCGTGTGTTTAATATATTTATGTTGTCGAAAAAGTATTGGGAGTTTACAAAAAATTCCTTCGATTTTCCTTCTGCAATTCTCTTATTGAGGCGCACTTGAAAAAACACATATACGCTAACATTTTTCTTCTCGAATAGAAAGAGGAGTCTTCCCCTTTCATTTTTCCATTTTCTAATGCCCTTTGTTTCAGGACATCAGGGAACTGAAATCCTTTTCTTCGGAGCCGCAATGAAAATTTTGATAAAGGTTTTATCTAAAAACTTCTTTGTGAGGACTTGCGAGCAGGTGGATTGTTCAAAGTGTTGCGAAATTTCAGAGTTGTTTTTCATAAAGCAGATACATCTTACTCTTGCCTTCACAGAAGGCCGTAGATTCAAAATGAAATTTTTTTAACTTTCTACAATATACATAGGCCTTTAGATCAAGATGTAGAGCCAACGCAAAACCCAACCTTTTCCGGTTGATGTACTCCCACTTCGCGATTCGCTTTTTTTTGAAGCCACATTTTTTACGCATAAATCAGGCTTGTGATATGGAAGCTTAGTGCATTCTACGATGAGCAAAAAAAAAAAAACATTTAGTTTCAACACTAATCCAAAATTTTTTGTAAACTCTTCTTGAATATCTTGTGTCATTTTTACGCAATTACAGCTTCACAGATGTTTTGCATTATTTTTCTGTAGTTTACAAATTTCCTTTACAAAATTCCATTAGTATCGCAGAATTTAAAATGAATTCTTCATTCGATTATTTGATCCATAAGATAAATAGAAATCTGTCAAAGTTTAGCACAATTAAAATGAAAAAATTGTAAGCAAATTAAGAGGTAGTTAGGATTCTGTAAAATTAGTTTTAGTGACATTCAATAAACAAGCACCTCCCGCGGACTATTCTATTTCTGGTACTTTTTTGACAACAATTTATTTACAATCTATATTTCCTAGCACTATTTGATACGAAATGCCTGGTACTTTGTTGACAGGATGTGAACATTCTACTCCTTCTTGCTCATTTTTAATATGCTTTTATATATGGCCTTTTCTCCTGGTCCACTTTCTCTATGGAATTCCTGATACTTTTTTGACAAAATTTGCACATTCGAATCTCTGCTCATTTCTAATATGTACATCAATGTGTCCTGGTATACTTTCTCTATAACATTCCTGGTACTTTTCGGACAGAATATGCACATTCGCATCTGTGCTCATTTTTAATATGTTTTTGTGTAGACATTTCTACATTTCCTGATACTCTTTATATATAAAATTTCTTTTACTTTTTTGGTAGAATATAGGCATTCGAATTGCTCTTAATATCTAACATTTTCTACATCGAAATATTTTTTCACGATGCTGTTTAATTCGAAATTCCTGGTACTTGTTTGACAAAAAAATATATGATGTTCCCGATACTTTCTTAACAGAATATGCGCATTCTAATTTCAACTCATTCTTAATTTGTTCTTTATTTAGATATTCTTTCCCGATAACTTTTAGTTAGAAACTCCTGGTACTTTTTTGACGATATATACACATATTGATCTCTCTTCACATTTAAAATAGTTTTATATCGATCTCTTCATGCATACAAACATAGATTTTTTTTGATTTATTTTTTTCGCCAATCGATAAATATGAAGAAATAGAAGCGTCACTATCGCTGTTGTTGTTGTTGTCGTTGTCGTTGTTGTTTTCGGTTTTATTAAACTTTTTCTTTTTTACACATATTAGTCGTTAAATAAACAAAATCTTAGCACAGAAGTGAAAAAGAGAAATACACATAAATAGCTTTTCGCACATTCATACATACATACACACACACATATATGCATACAAACAAACAAGATTTTCACAATTCATATATAATAATATGAAATTTCATGCCAAACACACAAAAGCGATAAAAACTATTAAGAAAAAAAAGAAAAAAAAGAAAAAAAAGACTTTCTTAAGCAATACATACATGCAAACCCGCGCGTAGTATGCATGCATTGGTTAATGCACGTTAATGTGCTTATGTGTTTTATTGTTGTGCTGTTTTTCTATTTGATTTCTTTTCTCACTTTTACAGTAAATTAAATTGTTTTTCTGCTTTTTTTAACAAATTTATTTATTTATTTTTTTGCCTGCTAAAGGGAGGTAGGATTTACACAATTAAATGCTTGAGTTTTCTTTCCAACGCCATCAATCAGTGTCTGTAGATGTGAGGCATGCATATGCAAAACCATTGGTATACGCATAGACATACATGCATGCATGCACATATATATATATGCAAAGTGCGTTCTTTCTGTTTTTTTTTTTTTTTCTTTTTTTTAATGTACATACATATCTTAAAGAAGCCATAAACTTTTTTATTTATAAAAGTTAGCGTTGAGTGCCTGCTAGCGAAGGAATGAGAGGAAAAGCCGGCTTTGCAGTAAATTTGTCATTCGTTATATATATGCAATTTACATGTAAACGTAAATTTTATACAATCAATGCGCATTAAAAAGAAGTGTAAATGAATCTTCTTCCAAAGTTGGGACATTGTGAAGAGATACAACCGATGATTCATTTAGCGGCAGTTTCTCTATATATTTTCTTCTTATTTTTATTCTTTTGTATTAAGTTAATTGAAAAGTTCCAGGAACGGAAGTGATAAAACAAGTTTATACACTCAAGTCTGTTTTCTTCGCTATGTCTATTGATAGCGAAATTTTCGAAATGACATAAAACGAAAAAGAAGCTAAGCTGCAAGAAAAAAACATGTTTTTTCTTTTAGTCATAGATTCTCGTCTCATGGTCTCTAAGATGAACGTTAAAGCTGGTTTATAAGCCACTGAAAAAAATAATAATGTCGCCATGGTTTTTAGATAAACTGGAGTCAGGTGATTTCAACTAAGGCAGAAAATCTGGCAGTCACATTCGCAATGACCAGCCTTTAGGATGAGTTACCAGTCAAGCATCAAATCGAAAAGTCACGTTCGCGTCATAGTTTAAAACTCAAATCAAGAGCAAAGTCACACCCAATTAATATAAAAACTAAAATCTTAATTGAACAAAGTAAACGACAATGTGAAGGGAGAGAACGTAAAACTTATAAAGCGAAGATAAAGCGGAGTTTCAATGAGGTTAAGTCTTAATGAAATCTAATCAATCATAGGGAAAGGGATAAATTGAATAAAAAGTACTTTCTCCGACCCTATAAATGACAACATAACCTCTCCCTATGGTCATTGACTTAAGTCCAAATTTACTAAACAATTTTCATCTAAGCAAAATGACGATGAAAACTTCTAATCCCAAAAGTAAGCAGTGGAAAGACGAGTTACAAATATTTAGGGAATGCTAAGAGGGCGCGGCACGAGACAATTACGCAAATTCTTTGGCTATATTAATTCGCAACCAGAGTTCGTAACCAATAATTATTATTGTAAGATATATTAGTGAGGCAAAAGCGTGTTGAAAGGCCACGTTTTCGATCACGTCCCGTTTGCCACATGGACGAGCAGACGAGAGTCGCGATTACCAAGTCGGTGTTAGCGGATTCAAATCTCAATGTGATGCAGAATACTTGGGTGCTTAGTAAAAGACAAGTAAAGATATAACATCTACCCATAGGGCATATTACTCACTAAGCAGCGGCCACTTCTTATGCCCTCTCCCAGTTCTCTCTGACCATTAGAAGACATAACATTCACCGATAGGGCGTACCACCAACTAGACTGCGGCCGGTTTCTTTGTCCTTGCCCAGTTCTCTCCGATAATCGCCATGTTACAAGTGCGGAAAAACATTCGCTAAGTGAGTGGTTAAAACGGAAATATGCAAAAAAATATAAACCTCTAAGAGATTAAGTTGGATCCATGAGTGTTTTTAATACGTAGTCGAATTATTGTTGAAAGCGAACACCTGCAATCTTCGGGAAGCGAATAGTAGGCCATGAAAATGTTTACACAGTTTCATCCAAGTAAATATTCCTTTATTTCTTTATTTTTTTTTTTTTGTCCAAAATTTACACAAAGTTTGCATCGTTCATTCCAATCGTGGTTTCGCGTTTCAGGCGACGACAATCAAGGCTTGGGTATAACTTAAGCGAGCCTTTAATCGTTAGCATATGCCTTTTTAAGCGTGAAAATGATTTTCCACATGATTCTTCAATTCACTTATGTTATACCGGAAGAGATTTCTGAAAGCCCCTTAAAACACATATTTACTCTTACTACAGGTTTTTTATCCTTTTGTTGAAAACGATAAGCATTTGAAGCTTGGATGCAAAGGATTTTTAAAAATTTAACAAAGCAAAATTTTTCCTTCGTTTTAATGAAAATTAATTTTTTTTTTTCGTCGTGCAGACATCTCTGATATGGATGTAAACGAAAATCTTTAACTAAAAGGCGATGTCTGAGGTTTACCGTTTTGAAGCTGACGTTTTTAGGAATTTATTATAAATAAATTTATTTGCTTTGAATGCCACCTTGCAGTTGAGTAAATGTGCTCCGCACATCTTGCAATGTTTTAACGGAATTAACGCAAAAATCATTTTTAGTTCAAAAATGAAAATTCTAATAACCACCAGCGTCGTTTGGGGGTCACTCTCAGCGCATTAGGCCATCGCTTCAG